CTCCAGCAGGTGGGACCACACAGTTCCCTTCGCTCGACACTACTCACGACCTGTTGCCCCATCCTCAGCACCCCAGACCCGAGCCTCCCCGCAAGTCTGGGGAAGCGACGGCGTGGCTGACCCAGGCCGTGTGGGGCTCGCAGGTGGGACTTCCTGTCCCTGGAAGCAGGGACGGCCAGCAGCGGGGCCTAAGCTCTTGGCAGGGCTGGCGGGCCCGGCGCTGTGCCCACCCCGTGCCCCGGGCCCCGGCGGCAGCACCCGGCCCGCAGGCCGCGCGCACTCACTTCTCGGTCACGTACAGCAGCCCGTTCCTGATGTAGTCCGTGGGCATCTTCCGGTCTCTGTTTATGAGGCAGCAACGCCAGCCGTTCTCACATGCTAAGGGGGACAAAACCGACCCTGACCGTCCCGCTGGGGACGCCCACCTCTGGCGGGCTGCCGGGACCCACCCGCCAGCCTGGCTGCTCCGAGGTGTGCCGACCTCCACCTCCGGGCAGGTGGCACCGAGTGGGAGGACGGTGGCTCGGCAGGAGCGAGGTGGCATCTACGAGGCTAAGGAACAGACGCCTTCTTGTCCGCGTGAACGGGCAGGGCTTTTGTGTTTGTTTTTAAAGGAGAAGGACACCATTTAAACGGCGGAGGAAGACGCACCGGGCGGCAGCCACGAAGCGCACACTCCACGTTCCCGGCTGGCGGGACCGGAGCTCAGGGCAGAACGCAGACCGCCCGCCACCACGCTCCACGGGCGCCGAAGTCTGTGAAGAGCCCGGTTCGCTGAGTGCCCACAGTGTGTGGTTTGTAGCGGGAGGGCCTCTCTGGGAGGGGACAGGGACCCAGGCTCCCGAGTCACCACTCAGGCCGCAGACAGGCCAGAAGGACCTCGGGGCAGGCTGCACACGCCAGGGGAGCGGCCGGCACCGGACTCTGCGCTGACCCCTGCCGCCCGCTGACTGCGGCAAGGTCGCCCTGTGTGGGCCGGGCCCGCCTGCCCGGTGTCTAGGAGGGCGGCCGGCAGCCCCACTGCGGCGCCCACACCGGGCATCCCCCGCCGGGCCAGGCTGGGTCACGGGCTCGCGGCTCTCATACCCGCCAGCGGCCGCTCGTTTTCCGTCAGGTTGAAGATCTCGTGGAAGTTGCCCTTCTTGGTGCTGTGGAAGCGGCCGGCGTCTTCGTCCTTGCTCAGGCTGGCTGGCGCACTGGACACGTAGCTCCGCGAGGCCGTCTGCGGCTGCCAAGAGCGTCCCGCCGTCAGCCATGCCCATGCCAAGGGGGGCAAGGAGCCGGCACGCACACGACCCCCTTCCCCACGCCCAGAGGCCAACGGACGGGCAAACGGCGTGTGCGCCCAGGCGTGGGCACCCAGGCATGGGGTGCCCGGTCCTCGGCGCCCTGTGGCCGTGGGGAGACCCTCTGCCCCCACACACAGTCCAGGTGCTGTGCCACAGGTGCTCAGCGCTGGCAGTTCAGACAGACGTGCCAGGATCAGAGCTGGCCCGCGACAGGCCACCGGAAGCAACAAACACGTCACAGTCACGGCACAGTCACAGCACAGCAACGCACAGCACTGGGTCACGGCAGGAGGAGGGGCTTCCCCGCGGACACCGTACCTTGTCATGCCCTGACAGCTGGTCAGAAAAGAGACAACGGACACACGTGGGACCAAGACGAAGGAAAAGGCCGGGCCACGCGACGCCGGCCCAGCGGGCTGCAGACGCAGACGCAGGCCCGCGGTGCCTCGCAGGGCTGCCGCCCCGACGCCCACCCCTCAGCCCGCTTCGCCCTCGCCCTCAGGGCGGCCAGCACCACGTGCGCTTGGCCCCGGGAGGTCCGGTCCCAGCCTCCCCAGGGAGCCAGGCTGCCTGCTCCTGCCCCTTCCCTGCTTCGCCGCCACCCGTGTGACCAGGGCCAATCCACAGGCTCTCACAGGGCCACCTGCACACCCAGCTGGGGAGTTTGGGCCCCCAACAAGCTACTGTCCCAGGACCTGGGAAGCCTGACCCACATGTGACTTGGAGCGTCCCCCCACCAACAGAAGCATCAACGAGTCACTAGATACCCTCCCCTCAGAGGACACCCACACACACGACTCTGCACTCCAATGTCACCTTCTCCAGGAAGCCCTCCCAGACCTCCCTGGGAGTCCTACTGAGCCCAGAACTTCCCCACTTGCCTGAGACCCGAAAACACCTATATCAGCTCGGGACATGGTGCCCGATGCCCATACGGCTGACCTTCCACTGTGAACGACACATGGGCCAGCACCAGCCTGTGAGCACCAGGTGGGCCCATCCCAGGTGCTGCTGGGCCTCGCGGCCCAGGCCTCAGAGCTGGGGCAGCAGGACCTGGCACCTACCCAGAGCAATCGCTGCCAGGGCTCCCACCTCCCAAGGTCCCCCAGCTCTGTGCGGCGATGACCAATGCCCCACACCCTGCTGGCCCTCGGCCTGGGGGCCAGCCTGGCATGGCAGGGCCCACTCTCCAGGGGGTCTGTGGCAGGAGGGGGCCTCCAGGCCATCCCCCAAGCGCTGCCTGGCCTGGGCCAGCAGCTGTCCCCCGCCCGAGCTGGCTGGCCCTTTGACAAGGCAGAGCTGGGCAGCAGGGAAAACCCGTTGTCCGTCTTAAGGGCCCCGTGAACGCGGAAGGCCATCAGCCCCCGGCGACCGACAGTGACGAGCGCGTGTGGGCTGGCGGCGCCCTGCGGCCCGCGCCCCGGCTGCGGTGGGGCTCACCCTGCGGGACGTGGCGGCAGTGGAGCGCTCCTTGAGCTGCGGGTCAGTGGGGAGGCCCTTCCAGATGATGTAGGGGGTGTCGTACTTGGCGCGCAGCCTCGGGCAGCGTTTGAAGATGAAATCGATGAGGAAAAACTTGACGCCAGCATAGAGTCCTGGGGGGTGAGGGGGAGACACAGTCTCAGTCCACCCAGACCCACCATGGGACCCGCCGGCACCGCGGCCCCACGCCCCAGGGCCTCTGAGGGCCTCCCGCAGCCCAGGTTTGGCACGGTGGCCCTAGTGGAGTCAACGGAGGGCAAGGGAAGCAAGAGGGGAGGTGACCCCAGCTTTTCACTTCATCACCTCAAACCCAGCGGTGGCTCGGGACAAACAAAACCAGCCCCAACACAGGGCGCCATCCACCAAGGGTGGATGAAAGAAACTGTGGGGACCCGTCCCCAGCCTGCCCTCTGACCAGGGGTCCAGCAGTCCCCATGGCCACGGGCTCCCCGAGGTCAGAGCGAGCGCTCAGTGCCAGCCCAGGTCCCAGAGAAAAGACAGAAACTGTACGGCCTGCCAAGGACATTTTACGTTTGTTGACTTTTGTCACTTTCCCCAAGAACAAACATCTGCCAGCCCTGGTTTTCCTGGAGAAGGGGGCAGGCAGGGTGCCAACAAGAAACGGAGGACCAACTGCATATTAGGGGGCTCAGGGCAGGCTGAGGCAGACCCCCGAACTGCACAGCCACAGCGCTCAATACCCCAGCTCAGAATCAGCCTCCCCCGTGTGCTGTGCATGGGCCCTGTGCAAGCCAGGGTGGGTCTGGGCTTGGGGTCTGGCCTGGGAGCAGGGCACAGCTTCCTGGGCGGGGAGCTGAGTGGGTCCGGGCGGGCTTCAACCTCCCGGCAGGGCTGCCCTGTCTGAGGCGGCCGCTTCCTCCCGAACCCGTGAGGCCTCTAGGGTTCAGATGGGCTTCATTTCTCCCCAATTTAAGCGTTTTGATAAAAACCACTGGCCGAGGCGCACAGGAAGGAACGCGGTGAGAGTGAACAGCCGGCCTCCTCCCTGGAGGCGGCGGCGCCGCAGACACCCGGTGGGAAGCAGCGGCCCGGCCGCCCCAGCCCGGCCGCACCGGCCGAGCGGCGCCTTACCCAGGGCGAGGCCCACCAGGCGGTAGGGGAAGAAGCAGGAAGCCAGGAAGGCGGCCCACAGCGCGACGTACAGCTTCTGCGTGATCTCCGGCTGCACCCACATGAACAGGCTGCGAGGGAGACGGGGCATCAGCCGGGCGGCGGGGCCACACCCCAGGGGCGCCGGGCCGGGGGTGATGACTTACTTCTTGATCTTTTCCAGGATGTCAGCCATCTTGCCAAAGAGGTTCTGTGTGAAGAAGCAACTGTGGTTATGAGAGACGCCGGGGCATCGGTCCACAGTGACGCCAGGGGGGTCCCGGGTCAGGTTCACGGGCCGCCCCTGGGGGACCAGAGTGGGCGCCACGAGCCCCGTGGCCCTGCCCCACCACTCCAGGCCGAGGACGGGACGATGGGTCCCGTCTGAATCAGGTCAATGCTCTGGTAGTGCCGACAAACCTAATTCCGTGTCCCTCCCAGGAGCTGGCTGGGCCCCGGCCGGGAGGCGCTCTGACCACCAGGCGCCACTGTCACATTAACGGGACGACCCCACACCCATCGGGGCTGTCTCGGGTGTGGGCGACGGAGCTCCGGGCAAGCGGGCGACAGGTCGGCTGGCGACAGACGAGCCGGGCCTGGAGATCGGGGTGCTGGCCTCCCACCCCTGGGGACGGTACCTGGGCCTTCTGGGCGACGTCCAGCACGAGCTGGAACTTCTCAGACACGGTCAGGTCTTCCTTCGGAGGCTCCTTCGGTCAAAGGGGAAAGAGAATGGCCACCAAAACTTAACAGTTCGGAGAAATTACTGACAGAAACAGCACAGAGGGCTCCCGGCCCTGGGACCTGGTCGCTCGGACGTCCCCGCACAGCCAAAGGGGCGGACGTCCTGCAGGACCCAGCACGACGGGTCAGCACGGGACAGCTGCTCTGGTGGACACCCCACCTTGGGGCCTGAGAGGCTGGGTGGGTGGTGGGCACCCCTACAGCTGGCAGGGCTGTGGCTCTGACTCACCTTCGGAGGTGCATGAGACCACGCAGTTCCCTACCTCACTTTACAGGCAGGGAAACTGAGGCAAAGGGGGCCTGACCTCACTCTGCTTATCTGAGTTCACTCAACGAAAACCTTCCGAGGGACCCCTGAGTGCCGGGCCCAGTGGGCACAGGCCTGCCCCCAGATGCTCTCCCCAACCCCTAGGGGGTCCTACGGGCACCAACGCCCAGCACCCCTACTGTGTGCTCTGTTCACACAGTAGGTGCTTGAACAGCTGACGAGGCCCCTGGAGGCACTGAGGCCTCCCTCCCACCCACGCCTAGCACTTCTGCTCCAGGGGCCAGAGTCCCCCTCTAGAGCAAGGTCAGAGCAAGGTCAGAACATTTTTTCTGTAAAGGGCCAGAAAGTAAACACTTGGGGTCTGCAGGCCACATGGTCTCTGTCACAGCTACTCAACTCAGCTGTCACAGCCCCGCGCAGCCACAGCATGCACAAATGAATGGGCACGGCTGCATAGCAATAAAACTTTATTCACAAAATCAGGCGGCAGGCTGTAAGCAGGCCACAGGCGTAGCTGATCCTGCTCACACGTCCACTGGCCCAGCCCTCTGAGCGGCCCCCTTGCTGCCTCCCTCTCCAGCACATTCTATCCTGGCTGGGAAGGGTCAGGAAGGCACTCTCTTCCTGAGCAGCCAAGCCTGGCCCAGAGGGGACACGGGGGGGCGTCAGCTGGTGAGGGGTCAGGGTGCAGCTGCCCTGGGCTCCGGGCTGGGGGCGGTATGGCCTTCTCCTCCCCAACCTCCCCTAGGTAGGGCTCCCGGCAGGCGTCCGCACGGCTGCAGCTGGAGGCCTCAGGGGACCAGCAGGGGACCCAGGCTGAGGCCTGACCTGGCAGAGGTGGACGAACCCTTCGCCTTCCCGGGACTTACCACCACCTCGGACACTTCAGGGACGATGCTCCACTGTATCCTCCAGCCCCTGGCAAACAGGAGACAATGTGCACCCTCAAAACAGCACCGCCTGCAGGCGGCGGGGTCACAGGACGCGTCAAACTCAGGCCGAGCTCCCAACGGGTGGAGCGTGGAGCGCCCTGCAGCGTGGGCAGACCGCGGTGGTCGCCTCCGAGACTGCCAGGGCCACTCACCGGGGTGGACGGTTCAGGTCGCCTCACCGGCCCTGGGGGCCTCCGGGGGGGTGCAGGAGCAGCCGCCATCCTTTGGCTGACCGCACGGAGTCCCCCTCACCAGTATTTAAATGCTCTCTTTTTTATAAAAAACATTTTCAGGTCGACCAGCCTGAGCAGGCAGAAGGAGGCACTAGGAAAACGGGTGTGTAGAAGTGCACCCTGCGACAACGAAGAATTTACAAGCGAGTAAAAAATGACCAACTCCCTATGACCTCACCCGCACGTGGAAACTAAGGAACAAAACCGGCAGAACAGACAGACTCACAGATACAGAGAAGGAACCGTCGGCGGCCACACGGGAGGGGGTTTGGGGCTCGGTGAAAAGGGGGAGGGGTTAAGAAATGCAAATTGGCAGTGGGGATGTGAATACAGCACAGGGGACGTGGCCGATACCAGTGTGACGACTGCGTACGGGGTCGGGGGGGCTGGACTAATCAGAGGGCTCCCTGCATAAATTACACAGACGTCTAATCGCCACGCGGTGTACCTGACCCTCGTATAAAACAACACTCAATGTCGACTGCGACTGAAAATCTGAAAAAACGGGGCGGGGGGAGGAGACTAGAAGGTCCACGTGTCCAGCTATAAAACAAGGAACAGACGTGAAGAACAGCACAGGGGAAATGGTCAGTGACGTCACAGGGCCGCAGGTGTTGGACGGGCACCAGACTGGTCACGGTGGTCACCCTGGGCACAGAGTGCACAGAGCGTGGATGACCACGCTGTACACCGGAGCCTAGTGCGACGCTGGACCTTAACTATATTTAAATTCTAAAAAATTTACAGAAAAAATGAGTGAAAGCGAGCACCCTGAATGGCCGCGTCCGGCACTGGGCACAGGGCTCTCGGGCCCCGGGGGACGCGGCTCTCGCTGTGGGGGCGGCCGGGAACACGGGGTTCTGCCCAGAGCGCTGGCTTCCCAGCGCAGTGCCGCGGCCTCGACAGGGGTGCTCGGGGAACACAGAAGGGGGCGCGCGGCATGAGGAGCGCGTTCTGAATCCAGCTCCTGTCACACGCATGCCGGTGGGGACCCCCTAGGGCACAGAGCCCCCACGCTCCCTCGACCCCCCAGGACGTCTGACCAGAGCTCTGGGGGACTCTCCTGCCAAATGGAGCCCCTCGAATCAGGGGTGGGAGTGACCCCGCAGCCGGCACTCACTTGGCGCTGGGGAGTCTGGCACTGCCCACGGCGGCTCCCGCAAGCCAGGCTGGGGGTGGGCACCCCCCTCCCTGGGGTCAGGAGCCTATCGGAGGACACCCCCCAAAGGCCAGTGCACGGGGCGCAGCTGGCTGGGCGTGTCACGGACGTGGGTGACGTGGGGAGACAGCACGCCACACGCACACGATGAGCCAGCTCACCTACCTGGCTATGAGGTAATTGAGGGACAGCCGCAGAATCGCCAGAAATAAGAACATGGGGATGGCCCAGCCATGCCACACGGCGTTCACGTAGACCTGCGGGCAGGACGGGGCAGCGGGGACACGGTGAGGGGCCCAACGGCAGCTCGAGGCCGACCGCACCCCACCCTGCCCTGCAGGCTTGCGCCTGGGGAAGCGGGAGGAGCTGCCCATGAGGACGTGAAGGGGGAGCCCCTCGGGAGGCAGTGGGACATACGGGCTGCCCGGGGAGAGGGCCGCGGCCCGGGAGCAGAGAGGGCCCGCCTCACTGGGGTTCCGGCCCGCCCAGGTGCGGTGCCACGTGCTAGAGCTCAAGCTGGCCCCGAGTGGAGCACAGCTGAGCACGGTGATCGACCACAGGCCGGGAATCCACTATGTGCCGAGTGCCCAGGAAAGGGCCGCAGGGGCCCCTCAACTCTGCTCCCGCCTGTGCCTGGCCCGGAGCTGGGGCCACTGAGCTGCCACCCAGGAAGGGGCAGGGAAGGAATGCGGGGGGCTGGGCGGAGGGCAGAAGCTGGTCTGAGGTGGGAGGTGCCTCTCTTGGTGATGAGGACGATGAGGACGATGAGGGACTAAGGTGTCTGACTCGAGGCAGTGAGGCCTCACGAGCAAAGCAGAGTGGAGAGGGGTCCCCGGGGTGACAGCGGACAGGCACCCTGCCGCTGCGGCCTGTCCTCTGTGAGTGTGCAAAAGGCCAGTCTCCCAGGAGGACGGTGGGCCCTGGGGCAGGCACTAGGGTGGCCCTCGAGACCAGACCAGGCTGAGGCTAGCTGGGGGGTTCTGCAGAGATGGGCCTTGGGGAGCTGTGGCCACCTATTGCTGGCCTCGGGAATCCACAGGCAGGTGGGTGGCCTGCATCCTCCTTACACTGGAGAGTGGCACTGGCTTTGAGAGGACAGATGGCCACCGGGCATTTCATGCACTGGCCAGGCCCGTTTTCCCCAACGCCCCCGTGATGCTGGCCCGCCGCCCGCCACCCTACCCCAGCACTGCTGGCTCACGGGCCCAGCTCAGCTCCAGGTCACCATGCACATGTCCGGAGCCACCCCCAGGCCCCGTAACCAGGACAAGCCCCTTGCCGTCCCCTCCCCGGCCATCCAGGAGAGCAGACTGAAGTGTGGCCAGAGGCCCTGTGGACATCTCTGCACAGACACAGCCTGCGGGCCGGCCCTCGTCGGATCCCCTCACGACCGCAAGGCGGCTGTATCGCTGCCCCCGCTCGACAGATGGGAGCCTGAGGCTGAGCGCACCCCCGGGCCGCCCCGCAGGGCCAGGGTGGGTCCCTCGGGGAGAAGCACAGCCCGCCCGCCCCACGGGAAGCGCTCACGGTGAAGGCGATGGCCGATGTGTAGACAGAGTACCAGTCAGATAAGGCAGAGAGGTTCTTCACAAAGCTGGTGACAGGCCTGGCGCCGCGCTCTGGGGACAGGGCAAACGCACGGTCAGGCTGGCGCTTGCGGGCCCTCTGGGAGGTCAGGCTGGCCACAGGGCCCGGGCAGACCCAGCGACAAAGCAGAGTGCAAGCACGCAGGCTCCCAGTGCGCCTGGGCCCTGGGCCAGCGCTGCCTCCGCCCCCTGCCCTGCCTAGTGCTGTCTGGTCCCATGGGGTGATGCCCTCTGCGTGCCCCCACCCCACGCCTGTGCCCACGGGCAGGAGAAGGGGGGCTTGTTCGCATCCCCGGGGCCCAGGCAGCGATCTGGGAAAGCGACACTTTTCTCTGGGGCTTCCACGCCCGGAGGGCAGGACAGACAGGCGCCTGGGACAGGCTGCAACGGCCTCAGGAAGGAGGCAGCAGCGGGAATTACGGAGAACGCCTCCACAAAGCCGCCCCGGTCCGCCCGAGATGACGGAGCCCTGCTCAGGGCCCCCACGCGCTGGTCAGCCCCCCAAGGGCACGGTACTCACTCAGTCGCCGCATGTTCTCGGTTAATCTGAAAGAGGGGGAGAGGGATGAGCGCCAGCACCCCTCGCCTGGGCCCGCACCACCCACCTGGGCCTGCGCCCCTGCTGGCGAGGGCAGGTAGAGCTGCTCCGAGGCTGCAGGGGACCGTGTCCACAGAACCCGCCCTCGTCCCCGCCCACGCTCCGCAGGACCCTGAGACTTGGACAGTAGAAGCCTGGCCCATCTGGCGCCCACGGAGACCCAGGGGCCAACAGCGGGTGTGTGACCCCAGGGGGAGGCCGGGGCAGTGGGCGCTCTGCTCTGAGCCCGCCACCCCGCACGGTGTTTGTCAGGCACGCGAGACCACGGAGTGGGGGCAGGCGGCAATGCAGTGGCCTTTGTGCCCGGCCGGGGGCCCGACCCTAGGGGGCCCGGCCACGCCCCACTTCGCGGCTCCACCGAGCTCTGGCTGGGCTCCCGGGGGCCCCACCTGCGGGCGCTGAGGGGCTCCTCCGTCTCCACGGCACTCTCCTCGGGCTGGAACCGGAAGTCCTCCACGTACTCCCCGAACTTCTCGAAAAACCACTTCTGCACGCGGGGGCACAGCCCCTGGCCCCGCCGGTCTGCAGAGACGCCAGGCGTCAGTGAGGGCAGGGCCTGGAGGGCTTGCAGGGGGTGGGGTGAGGAAGCACCGAGGTGGGGGCCAGGCTGTGGGGGGCTTGGCCCCCCAAAAACAGAGCCTGACCCGCTTGCACCACGAGGAGCAACACCAGCCCACGCAGACCACATGGGGGGCCTTGGTGTCCCTCACACTGACTCCCACTGGCCTGAGGCTGTCCCCAGCACGAGCACTGTCCAGGCAGCTCCCAGCCCCCTGTGTCAGCCCCCCTCCCCCTTACTGGAGGCACTAGTCCATCTGGGGAGGGGCTGAGTGGGCTCACCGCCCGTACCCTCTGTGCCAGCCAGCGGGTGTCTGTGTTGGGGGCTGTGCCCGGTGGGTGGAGTGGCCTCTGCTCACCCACAGCCAAAGCCTTTAGAAAGCCACGCACTACACAGAAAACCAGGACGCGTTCCGCAGACCGGAGCCTGGCCCTGCGGGAGGCAGGTCTCAGAGCCGCCTGCAGGTGGCACTGTCTACCACCGTTACAGAGGGACCGCCTGCTCCCAGGGGCGAGGGCGACTGAGGCTCCGGCACAGAGGCCGCCCAGGCACGGGGGAGGGGGAGGGGGGGCCTGGGGTGCTCGTCATGACAGCGTTTTCAGGCCGAGAAGCAGGTCAGCAAACTAGTGAACGCTGACGGCTTTGCTCTCAAATGCAGCTGTGCACGGAACGTAATGAGCAGGCGTGGCCATCCCCACAAACACTCGCGGGCACCGAAACCTGGAACGCACGCAACGTCCCCGTGTGACGCGTTCTGATTTCTTCCAACCATTAAAAAATGTAAAAATGTTGAAAAACACACAAACATTTAAAAACGTAAAACCAGATGGACCAGACGGGGCTGTAGTTTGCCAATCCCCAGGGCTGTCAGGCCTGCTCTGAGCAGACAGGTGTCAGGAGCTCCCAGGCCACCTCCCACATGCACACACACATACACACACACACACACACGGCCCTGGTTGCGGACCCCCCACCCCCACACACAGACACACACACACGGACCTGGCTACAGACCCCCCTCCCCCGACACACACACAGACTCACACACACGGCCCTGGCTGCGGGACCCCCCCCACACACACACGGCCTTGGCTGCAGCCCCCCATGTACACACACACACACACACACACACATGCACACACACACGGCCCTGGCTGCGGACCCCCCCCACACACACACACACTTACACGGCCCTGGCTGAGGGGCCGCCTCCCATACCATGCACCACACATGGCACCCTCCCGCATTCCGCCCACCCCAGAGCCGCACTCGGTGGGGCCCGCCCTTCCTTCCCTCCCTCCAGCCCCCGCCAGAGCCCACCATTCCAGCAACTATGGCCATCAGAGTGGACTCCTAGACGTGGCTTGAGACCAGGCCCTTGACGGGGGCTGGGCCGTGGGGCCCAGAGTTGGGGTCTCGCACCCTACACTGCAGGGAGCGCATCATCGCTGGGCATGTCAGGGGTCTTGGGTTTCCTGTGCTGGATCCTGGGCCGCTGGCCATGGTGCCCAAGAACCTAAGGAGACTTGGGCCCTCGGGGCGCAGCGGCCAGTCCCACACCCAGGC